ATTGGATATCAGGAAGAAATTCTTCACAGAGAGGGTGGGGACGTGCTAGAACAAGTTGCCCAGAGAAGCTGTGGATGCCCCATCCCTGGAAGTGTTCAAGGTCAGGCTGGATGAGGCTTGGAGCAACCTGGTCTAGTGGAAGGTGTCCCTGCCTGTGGCAATGGGTTGGAACTAGATGGTTTCTAAGGTCCAACGGAAAGCAAAACTTTGTTGGGAGCGCTGAAGGGGTAGACTCAACATGCTGTTCACGTGACAAGTGGACTGAAATACGCAGCACGTTTCTTGAGGCAGGTGTACGAGGTTTTTCTGCAGACTGTGTGAGCAGAGTGCAGAAATTTGGTGCACGTGGTACAGATGTGTATCCTGAGAAGATGTGATAGTGGGAAAGAGAGCTCATTTTTATGTCAAAATGTCTGGGAAAGACTGGAGTTTTGCTTCCAGCTGGGTTTGAGTGTACCATGGTAATTCTTAATGCTTGATTCTACTTATAGATAGATTAGTTAGAGATTTCCTTGTATAGATGTCATTTAAAAGTACAACTGGCTTTTAAAAAGTAGAACCAAAGCTATAGTGCCTTTCAAACATCCCATCCTAAAACAGAAACACTTCACTGTCAAGTAACACCTCTAATTTTTCATAATAGAAGCTTAGGGAGACAAGATGAAGTGGTGAGGATGTCTAGTACTTCTCTTTTTTTGTTGGTTTTTCTTCCTATCCTCCTTATTCCTTGCAGCTTTTGTATCTTACTGTGTTTTTTGTGCTTGACCTTATTACATGTACTTTCATGTTTCTGCTGCTTGGTTTCTGTAAGTGTACAAAGATCTTCAGTACATAAAGCACTTCTTGGATTTCAATTAAATCTACCACGGGTTCCTCTGTGACTTGAGCTCTTATTTCTCGGTACTAATATAGCCAACTCGTAGGACGAGTGTGTTAGGTCGTGCTTTGTGGGGTGTATTGCTGATGAGGTGGGGCTGTATTAGTAATAGTCAGAGAGTTTATTTGGTGTAGCATCTTCCAGAATGGGACTCTAATTCTGACTGAAATCTTTAACAAGATATGAGCTGCAGCACTGTGAAGAGCAACACTGACCTGGACCTTCTGTAAATATAATGCCCCATGGTGAAATTCTGCCTTTTTAAGCATTTTTAAAGTTTTTTAAGGGAGGTGAGCAGTAGGCATGGGAATACACTGCTTGATGAACAAATATTGAAGTTGAAATATGGTGTTGCAGGTACTTTAGATCTAGTTTCACCTATAATAAAGGGGAAAGATATGGCTACATGGTGGAGTGAGATAACTTTTCTGTGACAACGCTTCCTCAAATATATATTTTTTGTTATTTTGCTCAGGAAGGACAAGAGTTGACATAAGCAAATGCTAGAGTTCTGACTGCTGATCTCCTGCTTAATAACTTCTCTTCATGAGTGGAGCTGGAGAAAAGCATTTTCTGTTCGCAAATAAAATCAAATGTCTCTTTACATTCACAATCAATGCAAAGAGTTTTAGTTCACCTTTAAGTAGGTACCTACTGTAAGACTGGAAGGGAGGTTGTGTTTAGCTCCTTTGCAAGATGTCTTGGCACAGGCTGCACCAGTCTTGTCTGTCATGGGTATATGTCTGCGCTCACCTTTTTTTGTCTTCATGAAAGACGCACAACCAGTTGGCAGTTAAACTTAGCTTGAGGCCATGGCTTGTTATTCAAGGGGAAGGAATAAACTTGAGAGAGGCTTTTTCTGTTTGGTCTTGGGGTGACCAGTCCAGATCCACTGTGGAGGCTTGAGCCCAGCTGGTGGGCTTAACAGAACAGGGAGTGATCACGTGAAAGGATGAAATAAGCTTTGCTTCTGGTCTGGTAGAAAAGAGAAAAGTTCCTGCTAGATGGTGGAAAGGTGGCTCTGACTGCTTTTGGGTGGGAGAGAAAGGGAGGTTACTCTGGCACTTGGCTTCTTGTAGTTAGAGCAAAGCACATGATGCATCGGGAGCTGGCCCAGGTTGGTCAGCGCAGCATAGCTGGGATTGACCCTCTGTGTGGGGAACTCGCTAAGTTCAGGAGGGTGCTGGTACCATGCTATTCATGATAAGACTGAGCTGACTTTGTCCTGTTACCTCAGGCTAGCTTTTTGCGATGAGTTACTCCATGAGGAGAACAGGCAGCTTTAAAACCAACAAAACCAATCTAAAACTGGAAGGAAATTAAATAGTGGCGCTGTGGGTGCTTCAGGAGTAAAAGTGACTGATCACATAAGCTTAGGTCCGTTTAGGAACCATCACTTGAGGACCGAGGGATATTTTTTCTCTGCTTGGCCCTCTGGGATGTAGCTAAGGAAGCCTTTTTTTCTGTGGTTTCCTTGCCACTTAACAGATAAAAGAAGCATAAGTTTTAGTCAGTTGGAAACAGTTTTTGCTTTAAGAATGCATACTTGTGTTTTGGAATATGAAACTAGTCTTGGTCATGATGTCAATACCTTCACTCAGTTGAATTAGTTCTCTGAAGAGTTTTTCATCTGCTAAAGCTAATTTGGAATTTGTATTTTGGTGGTGAAATGTTTCTCCTTCCACAGCTTACAATCTTAAAACATAACTTGAATTCAAATGTGTGATCCCAAGTTTTAGACTAAATAATACTCATTCTTCTGTTTGGATGCTCTCAGATGAATGAATGGTTGATTTTTGAAGTGCACTGTGAAATCAGTATTATCGCAACAGTGTTATAACAGTGAATTAAGATCATGGAGATGAAATTTTAAGGGGTTTCTTATGTTTATAGAAGGAAGTAAATCCAGTGCGTTGCTCAAGGAACCGTTTTAGAACTTGGGTTGCAATAATAAAGAAATATTTTTGTCCTTAAAACTTGTTACATTTCCTCTTGTTTTGGATTTGTAGTCTTTATAGCTGTTTTTCATCTGTGGCATATGTATTTTACATGGCTGGACTTGTATTGAATTATTAAATGGACTTGGTTTATGTTTCATAAATATTTTTTAATCCTGCTTATAAAACTTGGTCTTTTTCTTTTTTAAAAATAGGAATATGTGGATGACACTGTCAGATTTGCAAAGATTGTATTAGTACATTCATTAAGGTGAGTGTCTTATGCTATCCCCAAGCAAGTGATTTATAATATTGGTTATTTCTCAGTGTGGCTGAACTTGTTGCTGCTTTGGATGCTTTGTTTGAGCTGTAATTTCAGAACGCTGAAAAATGAAAGCGTATTCTGGGCATTACATTTTAAAGACCTGTTGTATGAATTGTGAAGCACATGGAAATGGTGTGGTTTCTCTAAATTTCTAGGAAACTGAAGCTAAATGTAGTATCTAGTATGAAGTGCTACATTAGCATTTTTTGCTGAGCAGAAATTTATTAACAACTGCCAGTCTTTGGATTGCTCTTGAGGGTGTTTTAAGAAACTTTAATGATGCAGAAAATTCTGGGGTCCAGAAAACAAAGTGGCTAGTGTTACTCATGCTCAGGAGGAGTAAGGAAAATGGTATGCCTCTAAGCTTTGATTTAGAAAGCAGGTCATAGCTTCCAACAGTATTTTTGGTCAGTTGTGCTCTGCTTTCTAACAGCCTGATACTATTCTAGTGTTTGTCTGCAAAGTTGAACACACGGTATCAGAGATGCTGACTTTTATGTTTAGGTTCCATGTGTGAGAAGCTGACGACAAAAAGGGCTTATTGCAACCCAGGTGGGATGTGTGATGGATCAAGAAAGTAGAATGAATGGTCAGAGTTGTGGAAACGGTTTCAAAATTGATGATGGCTATGGAGCAAAAAAAGGAAACAGCTGAGAGTTTAAAGTAGAATAGTGGAGGCATGCCATCTCTAATGCAAAGGAGTGTTATCCAAGTGGTTTTGTTGTATGTGATGTGATGATGGGACAGTATTGGCCCAGGAAAGGGAGTGATAGATATCAGTTCTGGAGACTACTGTAATATTCAAATGCAGATGAAATTGTCGCTGAGGCTTTTGAGGATTAATACTATAGTGTCTGATTAGTCTAAATGACTGAAAATGTTGTTTTTCTGTGGCTACAAAATGTGGTCTGAACAAGTTCTTAAAGCTTACAATTTTCTTTTCAATGCGGCAGGTGTGACCAGTTCTCTACAGAAAGTGATCTTGGTTGGGATCCTGTAACACAGGTGTGTTTCCTAAAGCAGGTGGTTCATTCTCTTCTAATATTTGAAGTCTTCTATGTTTAGAGTAGATCGCTATTAAAGGAAATGTTGTCACAAGTACTATATTGTTCCTATACTGATCGAATCATACTTCTCTGTGGAAAAGACCTTCTTGAGATGCCATACATAGATGAACTCATAGTTCTTTGGGATTTGGGCATACTTGGGCACCTGTACATTTCCTTTGATAAGTAATAGAAGACTAGAACATTAGATTTGACTGCCTCTAGTTCTGCTCAAACTGATAAAATGCTTCGTTTGGGTTAGGTTTGCCTTAGCTTTCAGTTAAGGTGTAGAATGGCTTATCATGAGAATTCTGGGTAGTTTACAAGGACTCTTTTTTTTTTTCCTTAATGTCTTCCTGAATTCATTAAGTAGATGAAGCAAATATTATACCCAATTAAAATGGTACATGCTGCTACTGCGAATATTCTCCTCAGACCTAGACTGTCAAACTTTTTTTTTTTTTAAATCTGTGAAAATGTCATAGAGAAGTGCTATCACTTCATGAATAGTCAGGTGAGACCTTGTGCTTAACTTCTTGTGGATCTTCATTAGTGAAGGTAGAAACTTAAATTCATTAAGGAAATATAAATTATGGGGAGATGAGTTACTGTTCTTTAAACCAGGATTTAACTAGAGCGACATTCAGCATTTTCAGTGTCTGAGATAAAGATTGCAAAATCTGCAAGTATCTCCAGCTAAGGCAATTTCTAACACTTCTTATGGTCAGAGATAGAGTTTTTATAATAAATTGTTTTATCAATGTTTGATAAAGGCAGGTGTTTAAAGATCCAATGTACACACAGAGATTTGTATCGTAATCTGAGACTTGTAGAACTGGTATCAGCTTTGCAGCATTATGCAGAATGGAATGTTGTAAATAAATTCTTCCTTAAGTCTGGCCAACACAAATATACTTTTAGCAGTTGGTAGACGTGTAGCATTTTAAATTACGGTATGTTAATGTGGGCTGTGTTCCAAAATGGTTAGCTTGGGATCTGAACACTGTTCCAAACTTTTGTTCCAAGCATTTGTTCTGCATATTCAAATGAAACAAAGTGATGAAATTGGTTGCCACACAAATGTTGATCTTCTGACCTTCTGATTTTTGTTTTATTATTTGTGTTACATGGCAGTGGCATGTACCAGTAGAATTAGTTTCCTAGATTTAATAGAAGGGTTGTTGGATATTTTTTTTTCCACATTCTCAGTTTCTTTCTTGGGAAACTGTTTTTCTTAGGAAGAATAATAGTGTGCATGGACTTTGTTAGTACAGACTTCTAAACGTAAGGAAATTTTTTTTCTTTTTTTACTGTGAGGGTGATTGAGTGCTGAACAGATTGCCCAGAGAGGCTGTGGAATCTCCATCCCTTTTGACATATCAGAAGTCACCTGGAGGTGGTCCTGGGTAGCCTGCTCTAGGTGACTGCCTGAACAAGGGGTTAGACAAGATGACCTCTGTGGGTCCCTTTTGACCTCAACCATACTGTGATATGGTGAATTGCAATTTTGTAACTGCCTAGTAAACTCTTTAATGCTCATACCAAGCCTACATCGTTGTAGATAAGTTTAGAACTGGTGTTAAAAAGATATTCTAGGCAAATTTCTTAAGTGCTTGGAGCTCCTGATAACTACATCAGTCATTTTGCTTTATTGTCTACTGGAGTGGTTGGCCTTTCATTCTTAGGGGCTGTGTCAGCCCCTGTAGGCTACATATATACTGTGCGTGTATCCAGTGTAGAAGATTGTGTTATTTTAAAGCTCTATAAGACCTTACTTTAGACCAAAAGTGTTTAAAATGCAAATTCATATCTGATTCCTCTGCTGGATGACAGTTTCATGTTTAACCAACGTTTATCTGCATAGGCATGGCATAACTATCAGCATCTCTGTGGTATCTGTTTGAAGAGGACACTGTTGGGGGGCCCAGGTATTTCTTTTATATTTTATAGTTGTAGAGGTGTCCGGACTCTGTAATGGTCAAAGATTTCCAGTAGAAGAGGATGAGACAAGAATTAAATGCATGTGGGAGACTCTGGACCTAGGCACTTCATGCTTTTGATGCTAGCTGGGAGGGAGCTTGATAAACACTTTTACCAACTTTTCATATTAAAAACAGGTAAGAAACATGCACACTTTTTACGATTTGTGTTAGTAGAAAGATGTGTCCCCCCACCCATTCTGAGCCTATGCAGAAAATATATAGTTCTGTGTTTGGTATATATAACACTAAAATCACAATTCTAAGATACACTCATTCAGAACTATTTTTGGGGTATAAACTGGGAGTTACCTTATTTGAAGCAAGACGTATTTTAGCCTAAACCATACTTAAACTCATGTTTGAGTTTCTTCACTGCGGAAACAATCACATTGGAAGCAATCTTGCTATGAATGCAAGGACCCTGGCCTGGTGCTTACACTGACCTCTTCCTACATAGGTGCTGCTATAAATTCAGGGTGGTACTTGGATGGCTCTGGTCCTTGGCGATGTCTTAGTCAGTTCCTCTGTTGTAAAGTGGCAAATGTAAGCAGTAGCTAATTAGGATCACCTTTATAAAGATATTACTAACTTTTTATTTAAATAAAACAGTCCTGAGTTCAGGATTCTCATGAACTGAAGAGTGAACCCTTATCAACAGACTGTGAAATGAATGCTGGGAAATTCAGATTTTAATGGAAGCACTTGTGATATTCTGGATGCTGTTGATAATTTTATTGACATAAGCAGAAAATTCTGACTTATACCTCATTCCTTCTGAAGAAAAAGAGCAAAACTTTTTTATGATGACTTGCAATGAGATGAGGAATCTAGTTTAAAAAAAGTTTTTGTTGATTCCAGAAGTCTTGCGGGAAATTGTTAAACATCTTTTGTTACTTTTTCTTATATTGAAGTCCAAGAATACTGCCATCTTTCTCCCTGCCCCCTTCCTATGGAGTGTTCCAGTGAAAGTGTTCTGTTAATTGTTCTGTCTATTGCCACAAAAAAATGGAGCTCTCAGTGTTACTGGTGAAGTCATACAGTTAGACAAGTCACTTCTTGGATTATTGTTTGTTTTTCAACATTTTTCCTAACGCTTTGTTACTACCAAGCATTTAATTATTGACTAATTACACAAGGAGAATGCATTCATTGTAGATGTTAATTTTCCATTTTCTCTAAAATTGCATGATACAATTAAACCCCTGCTAGTTATTTATCATACAAATGAGAGAACTTTTACCATTTTGCAAAGCAATCATCCAGAAGACATGTGGAAACTCTTCTTGTTGACAAGATCTTCAGTAAAATTGAATCCTCACCATTAGGAAGTGAGGTGCCAGTACAGCTGACAGTCCCCAAATAGTCACGTGTCTGTAGTATAGTCATGAACTGTGGTGTTCTACTTCACTTGGGAATGTTGGAGAGATTATATAATTGCAAATTTAGACTCAAATCTTCAGATGTTCTCTTCTTGCTCAGTTCTTGAATTAGATGATTTTGACTGTATTTTTAGTTTTTCATTCTTCAAATGCCAATGACTAGACATATTTTTTGTGTGAAAAGAAATCTGAAAAAAATCTATTCTCTGAATGTAACCAGATCTGTGCTGAATGAAGTTTTTTGAGTTTAAATACCATAGTTTCAAAAGAAATTTGCCTCCTTGGTGTCCTAAAGCCCATCTTAATGGGTTTATGCTTTTGAAAAACCCTCTTATTTCTTCAAGTAGTTGTCCATACATATTTAGGTTTTTCTGGGAACTCTTAAGGTTCAGGCTGTTTCCATTGTCTTATTGCAGGACAAAGGAGCTACTGTAGCTAATGAATAACCAGAAGACATTTTCTGCACATCTAACCTGGCATCTTAATGCCTAAGTTTTCCTTAGTGCTCAGTGGAATTATGTTGCCTTTTTCATACACCACATCAGGATCTTAAGAGTTCTAGTCTTTGCCAGAGCAACTTTGGGAGATTTGTTCTGTCTAGAAGAGTAGAATGTTGATTTTAAGGCAACTGGCTCACAAACAAGATTAACTGGTGCCAGTTTAAGGTTGAAAAGTTTTTATTAACAGCGGCGAAACAGTCGGTCTGGGGTAAAAGTTTAGAATGTAGCAAAAGAGAAAGGGGGCAGGAAAAAAAAAAACCACAGCTTAATGTACTTCTCTCAAGCCCAAACCTAAGAGCTCTTGCTTTGTTTCCATGTGGCTGTTTGCACTTGCTTACTGATCTTGGAATGAGGTACAATTACCTCCCTCAGACCGTGGTAAGAGGAAAGAACCTCAGACTGGGAAAGCATGCTAGCTTTTAGCTTTTCACTCTTGTTTGGTTATTGATTGGAAATGGATTCAAGCATATAAGTAGGATGAATATGTGCAATTTATTACGGCATTTTGACTGAGATTAGTTTCAATGTTAATTAATCTCCCTGGGATGACTGACCCCCTGCGCTCCTGAAGTGTTTGTGTGATGCTTGCGTATGCATGCAGATGTTCCACTTAAGGCCTCCCTCTGTCTGAGAGAGAGGTCTAGCCAGATGCATCAGTTCTTATCTAAAATTACAGGCACAGGGCATGGTGTAGCGTAATTGCCAGTCTGTTCATTTTTCAGAGTCACTCTAATCTCTTCTTAGAAAATCTCTGAAAACTAATGGCATATATTAACGTTGCTACTTTGGGGCATCTTGGCTTTTTATTTATTATACAAACTCTTGTTTTAGAAACACTTCTCTTCCTTCTTTTCCCAGAAGCTCTTGGAAGTCTGTCATATCGTTTTTCTTGTTCCTTCCTGTATTCCTTACTCTGTTGTGTGCCTCTGGCAATGAGACTTTAAAGATTTTGAAACAGAATAAATTTTGTGCGAGACTGACTTTCAGTGACATTAATCTTCCAGTCTGGTCTAAGAACACCATTCCACCTCAAGGAATTGAGCCAATTCTTCTTGCAAGATACCTTTTAAAAGGTCAAACTTGTATCTTCTCCATTACTGGGGTACTCATTTTTTGTTTCTGGCTCTGTTGTCCTTGGGCTCCAAATCATGGGCACTGTAATGTAGCTACGTAGGAACTGCTTAGGTACTCACTGTGGGCAAAGCTGCAGAAGCTTTCGCGTGTTGCTAGTTAGAGACAAAAGTAACACAATTTAAGTGTTTCCTGACACAAGTTTCTGCCAGGTATCAAGAGGAAGAAAATTCACATAGTATCTCCTGTAGGGCAGTATGTACTTCTTTTCTGTTGGTGACTCTCTTAATTTGAACTCATTGCTTAAAAGAAAAATAACTTTAAAAACCCTGAAATCTTGAGTGTCATTGAATTGCTCAGCTCTTGTTCAGTGAGGCACAGGAAATTCCTCTAGAGCTATTGGACAGTTTTTATATATATTCTGGGAATGATTCTCTCCCACCTAAAGTAGCGCTATTCCTCAAAATACCTGGCAGAAGCTAACCTAGGTGTCAGGGAAAGAAGAGAGGAGATGAGACAATAGATGATAATTGGAGGTGGAAAAAATTACTCATCTGTAGTTTAATGGCTCAGAATTTCAAACTGCAGGACTTTACATGCTAGCTATGGCACAATTTCACTGCCTCTTAAACTTTCAAAGATTACAGAAAAGGCTTTGGGGAAATAATTTTCCAAGGAAATGTTCTGAAAAAAAAATATTTGTGGACAACTCTCGAGGCTGAAAATACTATGGCATCTGTAATACTCCTTGGCTTCAGAATTAATGAGAAGAGGTTTCTTACACTTAAAGGCTGAAATACAAAATGCTTGCATTCAGAGTAGGAAAGCTGTAATACAGTCCTGACTCTTCCCATAAATAGCAGAGTTTTCTGGTTATATTACTGTAATATTTGGTTAATTGTCTTTAGAGTAAGAGTATGTCTTTTGGAGGTTGATGCTTATGAACCTATCAATAGTGGTTTATATAGTTTTCTTTAAGGTATTTAAGTACAGCAGATCACAGCTGGTTGGGGTTTTTTTGTGAGCTTTTTTCCCCCTAACTCAAAGGAAATCATGTAACAGTTTATTAGCAGATAGTGTTTTGGTTATGGCACTATGTTTTTCTCTTGTATCTAAAGCGCTCTCTAAGTGACATTTTGTCAGAAAAATAGGAGGAATACCCTACTTTGGGCACAATATAGTATGAGGAATATTCGATCTTGCCTTGTTTTCCTACCTGTCAGACCTCCTTTTCAGGTGTTGCAGTGGCTGCCTTTTTTTTTTCCCTCCCCCAAAAAAACTTCCTTTTAATCATGATGGGATTAACTTGTGTAATTTTGATGTGCATAAGGCATTTATTTCAAATGGACAAAATGCTGTAGATGGTCTCCAAGGTTACCTTTAACCTTCATGGTAAAGCCATCCCATTGCTAGCTGAGTTGTTTGCTGAATCCTTTGTAGAACTTTACAACCTCAGTGCTCTCTGGGAAATGATAGCGCAGATGACACATGAGGAATAACTTAACCCACTCTCAGAAAGCTATTTAAACCTGACATGCTCTTATTGCTGCAGTTTCTGGGTGAGAACCAATTAGCGCATTTATAAAACACTCCTTACCTTTACAGTAACAGGAGGTTTGTCTCATGTGCTGTCCCTGTGGGTATTCCCAGTGCCACCTTCTCTAGGCACTCTTCTGAACCCTTTGTCTTCAATTACTCTCAGGCAAAATGAGTCGTGGCTAGACCTGCAGAGTTAAGATCAGGCTGTAATACTGAAGATAGTAGCAGGGGTACCTCTAACCAGCCAGGAACATGTGTGGCGAGAGTGGACTAGATAGAAGGACAGAACTTCATTAGTATGTCTAGCTAAGTAAGGCAAGTGAAAGTGTAAGCTCTGTCTACCAGAGAGATGAAATCGGAGATAAACTGTCTGATGTAGTTAATCATTGGCCACCAGACTATGTGCCATTGTGAAGCAATACTGCAGTTTCAGTCTAAGAGTAAATACTCTTTTATCCCATGTTCCAGTTATGTAATTTTAAAGACAGAAGTGGCTTTCTTAGTCCAGAAAAAACTTAGACTTACAAAGTGTAATTTACTGCCTGTATACTACTGTTCAGTGCAACAGCATAACAGGGTATCCATTTAGTTTGGATTAGAGTACCTGAACTGAATACGCACAGGAGTGCAGTATTGTTACATTTTACTCAAACAATTTTTTAACTTACTGCCTATAATTAAGTACGAGTGAATAATCTCATAAAGGGCAAAAAAAAAATTATTGGTATTTGTATACCATTACTGCTAGTTGAAATGAATGTCCTTTAAACTACACTTCCTCCTTCAACTGAAAACAGATAACTTGCATATTACTTTGGCCAAACGAGGAGATGAGTAGTGTTTTCTTCTGAAAAACTCAAAGTAAATATAAAATGTCTGGAAAAACAGCAATTAGGAGGGTAAGAAAATAGTTTCAGTGCTTTTGGGGCGGTGGGGGGCGAGGGCAGTTCTATCATAGTGTGTTTTAAATGATGGTTAGGTTAATGTTTTCTGTTACAGGCTTTCTAAATATCTATGTATTTATTTCTGTTTAAAAAGAAGCTGCTGCAGTTAATATTAAAACTTAGAAATTTTTTCATTGACTTTGTTACTGCAGTCAGAGGTTTATTAGTCAACAGCTGTAATCTTGGGTATTTTAAAGGAACAAAGAGGAAGGAACAAACATCGGTCTGGTTTTTAAAACAACCCTTTTTTTTTTTTTTTCCCCTGATGATGAATTATGTTGTTCAGAGAATCTTAGTTCATGGTTTAGCAGTATTGTTTACTCAGAGTTGCTGAAATAAATGAGGAAATGAGTCAGATTAAGTATCTTTATTTTATTCATTAAGTTGAACTGCTCTCAAGTACTTCTTTGATGGCTCTTCAATATTAGCCTCTTCTTAACTCACATCTATATACATTCTGAGCCTGGTGCATTAGAATTTGCTTTAAAAGCAGGGATTTGTTTTGTGTTAAGCTTACTTTTCCAAACAATGCAGAATTTCCACACATGGACCACCCCCCCAAATTAGTGGTAATCAGCAGGTAACATTATTCTCAGGCATATTTGCCTTAGAGTTTTTGTTGTTGAAAAATACGTCAGTTTGTGTACTGAGTTTCCCTGTTCCTACTGTATGTTCAGTCTACCTACCTACATGGCTTTTGTACAAAAAAAGAAATAAAGGATTGGTCAAAATGACAGAACTGATCTTAAAAGAAAAAAACAAGACGATGTATTTAAAAAACAACCCCAAACGACCTCCAAATTGAGTAAGGAATCATCTGATGGTCTGAATGCAATCTCTTTGTTTATCAGGGTAAACGGGAAGCTAGGGGAATGGTGTCATTGAACATAATAGCTGTTGTCCAAATCCAGGCAGTAAAATTATCAAGCATTAAGTGGGAGAATAACAAACGAGTGAATATTTAAACTTATAAAGAGTTTTTAATGTATATTCCACTTCCTATTTGTGTGTGGGTTTTTACTAAAAAATAAATGTTTTCCATGATAAAAAATTTAGTTTGCAGTTATATTTAACTTCTCACTGTTGAAATGCTGACTATATTAACCATGAATATAACTTATTTTTAATTTTACCTGTCAGTGACAATTCCAGTTTGTCAGCAAAGGCAAAAAAGAAAATAATATTTTTTTTTTTCTTCCTTCCCTTCCTTCTCAGATTTGTGGGTTGGTACTTCCAAACAGAGTTTGTACAGAGAGAAAATTCTGAATATGGCTTGATTTACTCTTGATCTTGGCAGTGTTTCTAATGAGTGTCCCATGGACTCTATCAAGTTCAGGGGGTTCTACTCTAGCACTGAGGAGCAGAACCCTGAGCAGCAACCTGGTATCAGTGGGAACGTTTCTTCATCATTCTCTTTAAAAGAGCAACAGAAAATGAGCGATTATTCTGGACTTGCAAATAACCACAGCCAGATGATTGCTGAAGAGTCAGAGATTCAGACAAAGCCTGAACACTCTCATGAGGTTCTTCAGGAAGATATTGAAATGAGCAGTGGATCCAGTGGAAATGACTTCAGTGGAAATGACACAAATGAAAACTACTCGAGTGGGCATGATTCTCATGGCCATGAATCTGATGAAAATGGGAAAGATTCAGCGATGCTTATGGAATCTTCAGACTGTCATAAAAGGTAGTATCTAATATTAAATAAATTTCACTTTTAACTTTGTCAATAAAGGCTCTTTCCATTTGAATCTAAGTTCTGAATAGTAACTACGGTATAAAGTGTATCTTCAGGTTGAAGTTAAGTGTTCTAGTTCTTGACTCATATGGTGTAAATTGTTTAATATTATAGTTCATAGAGAAAGTCTCTAGTATTCCACGGGGCCAGTTTAGTTTGAATATTTCTTCTCATCATTGCGTGTTTAACTGGCCTTATTTATAGATTTTCTTGTAAACCAACTTCTATAATTGTTTGTCAAAAGGTGTCAGTCTATTTTTATGTGTAAGGTTGCATCTGTACTATTTTCATCTTTTAGATAACAGCTTAGTGTACAGAGCAAAGCTACAGTAAGAACCTTCTTAGACAAATGTGTAACAGCTATAGTTGCCATTTGTTGTACCAGGCAGAAGCTTTTCAAGTTGTGGATTTATTTTTCCCTAGATCACTGGTCATTAATAGGAAAATATAAGGCTAAAATGAGCTAAATATGCTTGTTAGACTGACTAATGTTAATCTCTTTTTCTATCTTTCCTTATTCTAGTTCAAGCTCAAATGCATTTAGTCTGATGATTGCAAACTCTGAACACAATCAGTCTAGCAGTGGATGCAGGTAAATTAATGTGCATATATTTTCAGTATTTGCATGTATATAATGCTAAATGCTGAAAACTGAATAGTGTTGTGATTTAGGTTTGTGTTTTGTTTTGGCTAAACCTGAAGGAGTACACAAGAAATCCTATCTTTTGATTCTCTTCCTGTCCGCAATCAGTAGCATGTCCTATTAACCACTTGATGAATTAGCTTTTTGTTGCTGTTCCATGCAAGTTGTGCGATAACCTTTCAAGTCATTTTACTTTATTTTGATTTGGTAGCATAACTCTGTAGTGGTTCACTTGAATATTGCTTCATCTCTGGTGGGTGTTTCTGAAGCTTTTCTTTACATTTTCTGCTCTTCAGAATTTAGTCTGAAGTCCTTGCCTGGGGACAACATAATAATCTTTTAACATCAGAATTCACCCCATTGAGTTGGATGTGTTCTGATGTCCAGCAGCCATATCATCTGCCTCTCCTGTGTTCCATTCACCAGGATTCAAGCCTCAAGTCTGTAAGGATAAACCAACATCAGCTGCAGGAACCCCTCTGTATGAACTCTGCTTCTGACACTGATAGCCTTGAGAAACCTGGTGGCATTGAAGGCTCAAATCTGAACACTTCAGAGGGCCCTGTACTTGTTGGGGTTTTTTAAGTCAGGTTCTGATCAGGAGACCAAAACCTGATCCTGAGCAGATCAAGGATATCTAGCTATAGCATATTGACCCCTATCTGCAGGTACCTACCTGACAGTGTTTCTACCTGATGCAGTTCCTAGAGAAGTGGTAAATTAAAATTACCTCTTTGCACCATTTGGTGCCTGATGAACTTACTGTCTGTGTCTGCCTTGCAGGCACCTGGAGATCTTGTTCCATGCTGTATTTTCAATTGGAAATTGTGTTCTGGAGTTATGTTGCTAGTATGAAAAACAGTGAACTGAAGGTGTTTCCAATCTTTCTTTCCCACTGATCAGATTTTCTTCACTGCAAGATTTCTAGGGGGTTACTTATTGCAGTTTTTCTGATACCTTGTTATTTTAAATTTCATTAATAGCTCTCTGCTCAGAAATAAATAGGAATCCAGATGGTACAATGTGCTCCCCAGCTGTCAGGCTTGGTGCTAGAGGGTTACAGGGCAGAATTCTAGTCATCTTTTGGGAATGGGAGACTAAGGATATCTAGAAATTGATCTTTGAAGAAGACTAAAATAGTCTGATAAACTATAGATTTACTTTTCGATTCAAAGACTACTGGGCTTTGCATTCAGTATCAGCACCAACCAACTACTTAGTTTAATATTTGTAGGTACCTTTCCAGTTCACTGTCCACATAAAGCAAAAAGGAAAGCTCCTATTTTTATAGAGCTTGCTTATTCTGTCCACTGCAAGTCATTCCTTCCCTGTGGCTGGCTGCTGTGCCTGATGCTACTGATCTTTGGAAAAACATTGTCAAGTTGTATAACTTATTTTCCAAGGATGCCCATCTTCTGTATTTGCTGTTACTTTCAGCTAATTTGGAAAGGTTTCGTTTCTTGCAAAAGAGTCTGACTACTCTCAGTCAGCATACTCAGAGTACAAAACCAGTAGTATGACCAGTTTTTTCACAATCTTTTTCCTCTCTTTTCTTCCCTACTGCCAGCGTAGAGGGTTCGTCTATTAACAAAGCCCTGCTTGATTGCATCAGTCCAAGCTGTCAAGCCATGTTGTAGATGTGATTTTAATATACAGCATGAACATAATGTTGCCCAAGGGAGTACTCTACTCTTTTGTGTTATCACTTGCCATTATTTCTCAGTACAAAATGACCACTGATTAAGGGAATGCTATGTTTCTCATAGTACATCTTGAAGTAAGCAAGAACAATGTGTGTTCTCTAGTGCAAGCCAGCTTTGTCACTTCCCAAGTGTTTTTGGTGAAATACACCCAACAGCTGTCAGATGATTGATCTACCCGAGGAACTTTTCAAATTTCCCAGAAAAACATTCAGAAACCCTCCTGAAAGTTACCTGGAAGCTGAAGCCACTTTATTGAGCACTTCAGAGGGGGCAGTGCAGTTGCCAAGACTATTTTTTCTGTAGTGGTTCTTAGGGTGATTTCTTAGAAACTACCAGCCATGACAGTCGGGTGGTAAGAGACTTTCCTTTTGATGGTAAACAATCTGTTTTCAGGAAGGTTTAAGAAAAACTCTCCTCTTGATTGTTGTGACTGGTTAGCTTTTCAAATCTACTCCAATGAGAAAGACAAGGTGATTTTTCATTTTAACTGCTTCCTGCCCACCTGCCACCCATCTTTATCATCTTCCCCTTGCCTCTATTTCTCTTCCTTTTTGATTCTGTTAGCACCTCTTAATGATGGGGAGAGAGATCAGGAGCTGTGAAGGAAGGCAACATCTTTCTGATGTTGGCATTGATAATCTCTGTAGTTTGACCTTCTATGCTGAAACAGCGCTTCTGAACAAACATCTGAGAAGTGTGAATGCAATTTCTGTCTCCAGCCTCCTCTGACTCTATACCCTACATACTTAGTCAAGTTTCCTTATCTTATTTAATGTATTGCCATGCTTAACTGGGATACGTTGTTCCAAGGATTTCTCCGTTTGTTTTGTTAACTTGATGCTCTCCCACTGCCATTCCCTTTTCAGGGACTTTCTTATGAGAACCTGCTCGAACAGGAGGTGAAGACTTGAATGGACCTCCTGCTTCTCTCAAGTCCATGAACATTTCTATGAGTTTGAAATTGAAAGGAACTAAGGAAAATACCACTAAAAAGAGAGGAGGGAGACTGTGGCCCAAAAAAAAAAATTCTTTGGTGTTTGGGTATATGTACTGTTGCATATACAGAATAGATTTTACAATAAGGCTTCAGGTGGTGGTAAATCTTTTATTTTGAATGAATCTAGCTAATTTAAGAGTTACCTTAAGTTCTGAATGTTGGTACTAAGTACTGGAAAAGTTAATGTGGCTAGCTGTACGCATTTAGGTACGTGATAAGTGTCAAAGTGTATTTGGTCTTTTGATGATGGTGTGTCACTTCAAGCACTACAGTGACTTTTTTTTTTGTCTTTAATTTTGCAGTAGTGAGCAGTCCACTAAAGCAAAAACACAAAAGGAATTGCTGAAAACATTACAAGAGCTGAAAGCTCACCTGCCTTCTGAAAAGAGAATTAAAGGCAAATCTAGTGTCCTAACAACATTGAAATATGCCCTAAAAAGCATTAAACAAGTTAAAGGTAATCAAATATGATACTAAATAGATAATGCCAACCTGGATGAAACAAAACATTTAAAATAGGGATTTAAATGTGGTTATCTGTGTAAAGCTAAGTTTGTTGTGTTTGAAAACATCTCTAAACAGATGTTTTCATGGTGTTCCCATTTGTTGGCTCTAATTTGTGTTCCTTTGGCAGTTAAAGCAGCTCTCTATATGCCTAATATTTTATTGATATTTTGTTGAGTAAGAAAATTGATTTGAAAAAAAAAAATGTAGAGTTTTACACTACTTGCACTGTCAAACAGACCAAAAGATATGATCATGCATCTAAAGGTATATTAAAATGGGTAGATTTATTTGGTTACTGATGAGGAAACTCTACCGAGGAAAAACTAATTTGGAGTAGTACCTCCATTTCCTAACTGCCCATTCTGTGCTTGTGCCAAAAAAAGATTTTTGCCATTTACCACTTCCAGGCTGGATGTTTTATTGATGAGACTTATAATTCTGAATATAAGCTGTTTAATGTTCTTATGTAGCCAATGAGGAGTATTACCAATTGTTGATGATTAATGAATCCCAGCCTGCTGGACTCAATGTGTCATCTTACACGGTAGAAGAAGTTGAGACTATAACCTCAGAATACATCATGAAAAATGCGGTGAGTATGGTGACCCAAGTCTACAGTGTGTATTGAAAATGTTTTCTAGAACTGGAATGACAGGCATGCCTTCTTTTTACAAGGTAAGAGTTGGTAGTTAGGCCAGTAAACTGAATAAACTCTCTTATTTTCGGGGGGATGTTGAGTAGAAACTCAGCCTTGGCAAACTTTTCCAATAGCACCTTGATCTAAGCTTTTATCTGTCAGTTAGATAGGAAATAAGTAGTCTAAACTCCTTGGTCCTCTGAATTGTACCTTGTGCTTAGAGATGGTGGTGTGACATATCTCAACATCCATGTGATGCAATGTGGTGTGAGACTTCATTAGTTTTCATGTTAGAACACCCGCTGAAGTTGGAGAGTAACTCTAAATTTTAGTAAAGGCACGCTGTGAATCCTTTCACCTTATCCTATCATTAGAGGTTATCTGATGTTTCACCAGTTCTTCGTGTAAGCGTGACTGAAAAGTGATGAGTGTGTTGGAATCTGTGTGCTGTGTCTTCTTCTGTGGTATTTGTCTGGTCTTTGCAACTGCTATAGGCTTACTGTGTGATCCAGTGATATTGTGTCTTCTCAATAAGAACAGCTATGACCATCTATAGTTTTTAGCAGTAAAATGATATTATGATTTTCCATATTCCCAATGTTTTAGGGAAATATTATGGAGTCTTCATAAAATAATTGCATCTAAACTTCTTAGACTATTTTACTCAATTTTTTTTGTGAAGCCTCTGCCTGAATGCATGAAGTTCTGAAATTAGTAAAATAATGGCATGATGGGGGATGTTCCCTAGCTTGAAGTAGGTGGATTTCATTGGATCTATGAGTAGTAAAGGTTGCCCACAAGGTAGAGTAAATAGGAAGTCTAGAGTACAACTGAGTACAGCATCCAAATATCATAAACATTGTTCAGTTGATCTGAGTGTGATACCGGTGTTCTGACAACAGCTCTTAAGTTTGTGTATAGTGTTAGTGGATAGAGTACTAAAGGCTATGACGCAGGAAGCTCTTCTGTGTCAAGAATAAAACCAATGTGAAACGATACAAGTGGAGTGTGGGACTCTATTTCATCCCCCCAGCCCCATGTCTACTCATTATTTTACCAAGTGGTTTAGAGCACTTTATTTCATTTTGTAGTGGATGGACAAGCTACATAAACAGCCTTTCACAAACCAGTTGAATTTCGTAAATATAAAATACGCCTGTAACAAGCACAAGGAAAACATGCAGTTTTATACGTGGAAGCTCTCTAATTGTTAATTCATTATTCATTCTGCATCATAAAATTATAGGGAATGATATTTAGAGCTTGTAATCTAGTAAGATGCTAGTGTATTATTATTGCATAGTTCAAAAAGTGTACTGTCTGTATCTACTTGTCAGCCTAAGCCCTGTGTCAAAACTGCTTCCATAAAGAAAAAAGATGGGTCATTGTCATAAGAGACTCCCTTCTGAAGGGAGTGGAAGGCCCAGTATGCACACCCACTTAAGGAAGTCTGCTGCCTCCCTGAGGCCTGGGTTAAAGATATGAAGAGAAAGCTTCCTACCCTGGTACAGCCCTCAGATTGCTATCCATTATTGATTTTTCAGGTAGGCAACGATGAAGTTGCGACAAGAAGTCCAAGGGCAATCAAAAGAGACTTTGAGGCCTTGGGATGACTGACTAAGGGATCAGGAGCACAAGTAGTGTTCTCCTCTATCCCTCCAGCTGCAGGGAACCATGAGGGAAGAAACAGGAAGAGCCAGCAGGTCAATACCTGGCTCCAAGTCTGGTGTCACTGGCAAAATTTTGGGTGTTTTTGATCATGGGTTGGTTTACATGTCACCAGGCCTGCTGGCAACACAGGGTAACCTGTCTCAAAAGGAGGAAAAGGGTCTTTGCACAGGAGTTTAGCAGGGCTCATTGAAAGAGCTTTAGACTAGATTTGAAGGGGCAAAGGGTTAAAACCAGGCTTGCTAGAGATAAGCCTGGGGATGGCACTCCAGTGTTTGAGGGACAATATGCTGCTGAGGTCCTTGGTGTGCTAGCAAAGTCCTGTCTGACATCTCAGTGGAGGTAGGGGATGGAGATCCATGCAGCAGCAAAGATGCAAAGTTTGTTATGTCCTAGAAACCATGGAAGTGCCTGAGAATGGTCACACAGGAATTAGGGCTTCTTCCAGTAAGGTGGCAGTATCAGTAGCCCAAATGAAGTGCATCTACACCAATGCACACAGCATGGGCAACAAACGGGAGCTGGAAGCCATTGTGCTTTGGGAGAACTACGATATAGTTGCCATCACAGAAACACGGTGAGATGACTCGCACAACTGGAGTGCTGCAGTAGGCAACTATGCACTTTTCAGAAGGGACAGGCAAAGAAGAGGTTGAGGGGGAGTCCTGTATATTAGGGAGTGTTGTGATTGTCTAGAGCCTAATGTTGGTGACAATAGGGTGTTTATGGGTAAGAATCACGGGGAAGGCCAACAAGGCAGATATCTTGGTGGGATTCTGTAGACCAGCCAACCAAGATGAATAAGCAGTCAAAATGTTCTATAAGCAGCTGGGAGAAGTCTCAGAGTCGCTAGCCCTTGTTCTTGTGGGGGACTTCAACTGACCAGATGTCTGCTGGAAATACAGTACAGCAGAGAGGAAAGAGTTTAGGAGGTTTCTGAAGTGTGTGGAAAATAACTTCCTAATACAGCTGGTGAGAGAGCCAGCTGGGGAATACACCCTGCTGGACTTGTTTGTGAATAGAGAAGGACTTAGGGGGGTGTGATGGTTGCGGGCCGTCTTGGGCAAAGTGATCATGAAATAAGAGTTTTAGATTCTTGGAGAAGTAAGGAGGGAAGTCAGCTGAACTGCCACCTTCAACTTCCAGAGGGCAGACTTTGGCCTGTGTAGGAGCCTCTTTGACAGAGTCCCTCAGGAGGCAGCACAGGAGCAGGCTGTCCCCATGTGCTGAAAGATGAACCAGTGGGAAAGAAGACCGGCCTGGCTGAATAGAGTGCTTTGGGTGGAACTCAGGACATAAGGAGAGTTCATGAACCCATGTGCTGAAAGATGAACCAGTGAGAAAGAAGACCAGTCTGCCTGAATAGAGCGCTTTGGCTGGAACTCAGGACATAAGGAAAGTTTATGAACTCTGGAAGAAGGGGCAGGCAACTCATCAGGACTACAAGGATATCGTGAGGTTATGCAGGGGGAAAATTAGAGGGGCCAAAACCCAGCTAGAACTTAATGTGGCTACAGCCATAAAAGACAGTAAAAAATGTTTCTGTAAATAGATTAGCAACAAAATGAAGGCTAAGGAGGATCTCCATCCTGTATTGGATGTGGGGGGGAACATAGTGACAAAGGTTGAGGAAAAGGCTGAGGTACTTAATGCCTTCTTTGCCTTGGTTTTTGATAGTAAGACCAGTTGTTCTTTGGGTACCCAGCATCCTGAGCTGGAAGACAGGGACAGAGAGCAGAATAAGCCCCCATAATCCAAGGGGAAATGGGTAGCAACCTGCTGCACCACTTAAACCAGTGCATGGGACCAGATGGGATGCACCCAAGGGTGCTGAGGGAGCTGGTGGAAGTGCTCACCAAGCCACTTTCCATCATTTACCAGTAGTCCTGGCTTACTGGTGAGGTCCCAGTTGACTGGGGGTTAGCAAATGTTGCACCCATGTACAAGAAGGGCTGGAAGGAGGATCCAGGGAACTACAGGCCTGTCAGTCTGACTGCAGAGACAGCAAAGGTTATGGAGCAGATCATCCTGAGTGCTATCACATGCCATGTACGGGGCAACCAGGTGACTGGGCCCAGTCAGCATGGGTTTCTGAAAGGCAGGTCCTGCTTGACTAACCTCATCTCCTTCTATGACAAGGTGACCTGCCTAGTGGACAGACAAGGGCAAAGCTGTGAGTGTTGTCTACCTAGACTTCAGTAAAGCCTTTCACCCCATTTCCCATAGCATTCTCCTGGAGAAACTGGCTGCTCGTGGCTTGGGCAGGGGCACTCTCAGTGGCTAAAAAACTGGCAGGATATCCGGACTCAGAGTGGTGGCGAATGGAGTTAAATCCAGTTGTTGGCTGGTCACAAGGGGTGTTTGTTCCCCAGGGGTCAGTACTGGGGCCAGTTCTCATTAACATCTTTATCAATGACTTGGACGAGGGGATTGAGTGCACCCTCAGTACATTTGCAGATACAGTTCTCATTAACATCTTTATCAGTGACTTGGACAAGGGGATCGAGTGCACCCTCAGTACATTTGCAGATAACACCAAGTTAGGTGGGAGTGTTGATCTGCCTGAGGGTAGGAAGGCTCTATGGAGGGATCTGAACAGGTTGGATAGATGGAACAGGGCCAAGTGTATGAGGTTCCAAGGTCAAGTTCCAGGTCCTGCACTTGAGCCACAACAACCCCCTGCAATGCTACAAACTTGGAGATGTGGGGCTGGAAAGCTGC